CCCCAAAACCCCAAAACCCCAAAACCCCAAAACCCCTGAGTAGCGTGGCTAGTTTAAATATTTATTTAAAAATGCCTCGCTTGTATGTGAATAATAGAGCACCAGGGGTGTATTATTTCTGATTTCAGTTTTTTACGCATGGTATTAGTTTCTCGAAAGATCTTTATAATGTTAAGAATCCGGCCATAGCAGTAAGGTTCATTGACTTCCCAACTCTATTGATTAAGGCGCATGTTCGGGAGGATGGGACATTAGGAATGGAGAGCGGTAAAAAGACTACGTTTTCCATGCACTCGGATGATCTTCATGCAGCTCTTGAGGCAAGACCAGCCTCAGTAATGCTGGTTGATGCTGATCCAAACAATGTGAATATTCTAGGTAAGAGAAATATATAATCTTTAGCATCGACATCTGTGAGTTTGAAAATATTCGCGAAGTTTAAATATTTCTTTGATTATGAAGATCCTAGTACAAATCTAAAAAGATCAAATATAACCCTTTTTGACTCACTAAAGAACCCGATTGCAAAACTAGACTCTACTATTTGAATTTCTCTGCTGGATCGTCACTCTGTAGAAGCAATTAAGGAAAGAGAAAGACAGAAAGGAACAGCTATCAAAGAAGCTAGAGTTGCTCATAAAAGAGACAACTCAGAAGAAAGCAAAAGTGATCTCCAAGGTAAGCCTCTGGACTAATTTTTAGTCTCTAAGCCCTTTCTAATTGATGAGTTCAGCAAAGGAAGAATGAGATATGAGGAAACAAAGGATGACCTGAGTAATTCAGTCTCTGAGCCAATGAGATCTGGAAGGAAGAAGTCAAAATCTAAAAAGAAAGGATCCAAAAATACCACCAAACTTGATATTTGTAAGACTATTCATAACTATTTATAGACGAAGAATCAAAAGATGCTGGACAGATTCCTACACAGGAATCCAAGCCAGAACCTCTTGAAAAGCCAAGCTTCCGTAATAAAAAGGACGACATGAAACTATACGGAGACAGCGATGATGAGCTAGAAATTAGAAAGATCTTCCTTCAGCATCAAAGAAGAGATGTTGAAGAGTTTGCCTCAGAGAAAATCACTGAAAAACATGGCACCTTTCTACAATCTCTAAATGATCCCTTCTGTCCTCCAGCAATGCAGTTTCATAACTCTAAAGAGCAATCTAAGAGGAAAGTTCAACATAAAGAACAAGTTAGAAAGAAGAGACAGGACCTGATGGGCAAAATTGGAACTGCAGGTAGACAACAAGTTAGTAATCCTAGTGCAGTCAACTCAGAAATGAAGCCAAAATCCATTCTTAAGCCAAAATCAGCAGCCATGCAGTATCAAGAAGAGAACAAAAGTGCAGATATTCTCATTAGCCAAGGAGCTATGAAGGAGATTTTGAATGAACTTTCCTTTTTACGTAAGAAAATAGACACAATGGAGAAGACTCAAAAGTCTCCTCCAAAACATAAAAGTGAGAGCAGCAAGAGTAAGTCACCTCCTCGAAAAGAAGAGGAGAGAAAGTCTACTCCAACACCAAGGGACTTAAACTCTAGTCAAGGAGATATGAAGTCTCAGCAGAGTCATAGCAAATCTAGTTCAAGGAAAAGAAAGAAAAAGAAAGCTGCTAGGATATCTCATCAAGAACCACTCGAACCTTCTGCATCTCTGGATATCACCAATGAATTTGATGGGGAAGAATTTTCATTTGATGAATCTAAGGATTTCAAGAAAACTAGCAAGAAATCAAAGAAAGACAAGAAGGATAAAAAAAAATCTGAGAAGTCTCATAAATCTAAATCTAAGCACAACTCTATTGAGATGCTCAATAAAAACAAATCCCTTGACAGCCAAGGAGAACAGCTTTATCAACCAGGACAGCCTTCTCTCGTGAAGAACCCAACTGGAGGTAAATTCAGTTTATCTAATTTATAGGAACATCAACTACGATAAAAATCGGTCGATCCCAGACTCTCAAGCCAGAAATAAGAAAATTCAACAACCAAACTGATTTCTTGAAGAAATTTGAGGAAGAGACTCAAAAGAAGCCTACAAAGGTTGAAGAATTCCCTGAAGAAGATATCACCTCCTATTACACATCTGAATTTACTGATTAAGGACTTATTTTCAATATTTTAGCTGCCAATTGGGGTTTTGGGGTTTTGGGGTTTTGGGGTTTTGGGGTTTTGGGG